AAACACAAATGTTCTAGACAATTTTTGTCATGATTTGTCAAATTTCACAAATACAAGTATCTACTGTGTATCAATATGTAGTTAAAAAACTAAAACTTCGAAAGCATTCAAGAGTAGCAATGTTTTATTGTATATTTGTGTATAAAAACTGCCATAAAAAAGAATTCCTGGAGAAATGTCTTCCGGGGTGTGAGACTGTGTGTACATTTTGTAATATCTCACCTGAAGCTTAAACTAACTGAATGGAGGAGACGTAGACACATCATTGATTTTGTCTAAATTGCCATACAAATAATAAAAAAAATAGAATCTACTCAGCATGCATGTGAGTGAAATGTTGAAAACAACTCATTTCTGTTCTTTTTCTCAGAAGAGATGCAATGTAATTCTTTTTTTTTATCTTCAAAAAACACTGGGAATGTTGACAAGACTTGTAAGTTACGAAGCTTAAATAAATAAAGACTTGAACATTTCTTGGATTGTTTTTAATAAACTATTTCAAGTTCTTTAGTCTCTCCTTTATCCAAGAAGCTCTTACTTTATTAACGTTCCTGTGCTGATGAGCCAATCACAGAAGACTTATGATAATTAGAACTCATATAGTCTATGTTCATTTTTACATAAACACCTTTTTACAGTTTCAGTTTCGGAAAGTACAACTTAAAGCTACACTGTGTAACTCTTTTAGTTTATTCTTACCTGTAGCTAAAAACACTTAGTTCTTTCAAAAATATATGTGCTCATTAATGTATATTTACTTCATTCAATTAATAAAGTATTCTCGTGAGTGTATAATATGCCATTGAAAATACACACGGGTAAGGGGTTCTAATGTCGGTCGCCATGTTGCCCCTCCATCTTGAAAGTACATTAGCCAAAGAGGGACATTCCCGTTAATTCAAGCTTGGCCTTTCGCGTTTACGTTTGAGTCGAACTGGAAGCCATGTTAATCTTGGACTACATTGGCCACCGTAGGAGTTAAAACGAAATCGGAATTGAGAGGAACAGAAACTAATATTCACTGGATGGTCATATACCTTTTCACCACTAGATGGGGGTAAAAATCACACAGTGTAGCTTTAAGGAAATATTGTGTTTTGTACATGGGAGACCAAAGCAAATATTATTTTTACATTCCATTTGCTGTAACTGAAAAAGCTAATTAAAAAAAATCAAGTATCCTTTCCTAAAGAGGACAAAATATATAGAAAGTTTTGACAATCATCATGATAAAATGTGTATTGTTGGCTTATTTTCTTCTATAAAGAAAATGCCAGTGGGAAAAAAAATATTTTGGGAACTTCCAGGTATTGTATATGGAGACACAATACATCTGCCATTGCCATACTGTATAAAATGAGACGAATTCAAATTCTGCTATAAAGCAGTTGTGCAGAGGATTATTCAGCTCCAAGTCAGTTCAGTGTTGATTCAGTTAATCAATTATCAAATGAGTTCAAATCAGCTATAAGAAGCTCTACAGAAGGCAATAGTTCATACAAGTCAGTTCAATGTTGATGTAATTCAGTTTAATAACAGTGTTGATGCTGCAGGATTCATTCATTATGAAACAAATTCGATTTAGACCTTGAGAAAAATCAGACTCAGTAAGGAGGCCAGTTCAGGAAACCAAGGCAACAATTCTCAAGAACTGAATTATTCATAAACTTTCAATATGCATGTATAATTTATTCAAACTATTCAAAATATATTTACAGACACCAGTGTTAAAGGGATACTCCACTTTTTTTTTGGAAATAGGCTCATTTTACCACTCCCCCAGAGTTAAACAGTTGAGTTTTACCGTTTTCAAATCCATTCAGCCGATTTTCTGATATTTAGAAGAATATCAGTAACCAGACAGTTTCTGGTCTCATTGACTTCCATAGTATATATTTTTTCCTACTATGGAAGTCAATGAGACCAGAAACTGTCTGGTTACTGATATTCTTCTGAATATCTGAAAATCGGCTGAATACATTCGAAAACGGTAAAACTCAACTGTTTAACTCTGGGGGAGTTGTAAAATGAGCCTATTTCCAAAAAAAAGTGGAGTATCCTTTTAAATTTAACAGAGCAAGCAGATGAAGGCACACGTATAAAACGGATGTCAAAAAAAAACATGGAATTTAAGGTACTTCACAATGTAAAAAGTGCTGTCCAGTAGTAAACACTGCATGTCAAGATTAAATGTTTGCACATGTTTCGTGGTAGAGTTTATTTAGAGTTATTTCAATTTCAAATATATCAAAATTGTCAAATAAAATATCCCTGAAAAAGTGTTTATCAGTTTAAATACAGACTTCTGCATCCAAATTGATCACCGCACTTCAGAGACCTACGGTTACTTGTTACCCAGTTAACGTCACATTCTGGAATATCAATTTTATACAGTTTTCTAGAATATAAAGCTCAGGTAATTCCCCAATTATCATGATAAGCGTCTCTAGACATTTGATCAAAGTGAAATGTTTGACATTCATGGAGTTCATGTAATCTTTCAATAATGTCATGAAGCATCTGCTCTTCATCAAGTCTCTATATCCTAACACATCTAAAACATATCACACAAATGGTTCAAAATTCATTAAATAAAAATAAATCAAAAATCAATTAAACCATTTTTACAGTTCATAATTTGAAAAAAACAGAGATTTACAAGTAATGCATATGCATGTAAGACAAAGAAAAAATTGTTGTATTATTTTTGTAGTAAAACACATTGAAAAGCCAAACTGCATAAAACAAAACTCTTCTGTAGTTGCATTTAGGACACTGACACATATTCTTTACATTTTAAGACTGGAGCATCAGCAAAGAACAAGAGCACTTGAGGTGATCAGAACAGGTAAACAAAGTGCAAAAAGGTGCGAGACTTTGCAGGAGTGTTCCTGAAGAAAAGAATGGCTGTCAATCTGCTTGTAAATAAAGCAGTACTATACAACTATTTCTTGTGAAATACAGTCTTAAAGCCTCAAAGTGCTCAAAAAGCTAAAGATATTTTGAAAGTCATCCATCCATTTCTGCCAGTCATAACAAACTTAAGTGTTTCTTTCACTCGTTCAATTCAAATCTCACTGAACAACTAAACAACTTAAACCAGTCATTTACACCATAAAGATTATTTAGATTTCATTTCTGGTTTAAAACAATGATGAATAGAATATGCAGATATGCTCATTTTCCTTATACAAAATTCTTACTTTATTCAAAACCATAGAAATTATAAACAATTTATATATATATATATATATATATATATATATATATATATATATATATATATATATATATATATATATATATATATATATATATATATATATATATATATATATATATATAAGCAATATAATAATATATAAGCAACAACCATTTTAAATATAAATTTCTTAAGCAAAAGTGGTCATGTTTAGGGTTAAAATATAAATGAAACATGGGTCATAAATTCACATGGGAATATGTGGGATTATGACACATGGAAAAATACAGAATGAAAGCTTCCTGCCATTTTGGGAGCTTTTCATAGTTGTGCTTGGTTATGTTCAGGCATCTGCTAAATTTTACACTGGCTATTCACAAACAGTCAATGGTTTTGATTTTTTTTCTGCCAGTGTTTTTATGACCCCTTGAACATGACATGAGACAAAAAACATGAAAACGACCAATCCAAGTTCTATCTACACGATTCAGGTAGGCTGTGTACAACCAAGTTTGTTAAAATGACCATTGTAAAGTGAGATAAAGCGGGTGAGCATTGAGAAGAAAGCGGGGTTTCAGTGCGTCCACATGTGTGAACAAACATTCAAGCTGTAAACTCATGCATTTACTGATGAACAAACAAAACAAAACAAAAAAAACTCAAAACCGAGCCGAATTATAATTTTCCATTTTTTAACTGTTATTTTTTCTTTTTTTACGTGGAAAATTAAATGGCTAGAAGGTATTCAGAACAAAAAAGTCTTAACTTCATAATTGGATTTTTTATTTTTGTTTGTATTTCCATTTGATGCATTAAAACAAAGATGAAATGGTTCATGAGACGGTTTGAAGTAAACAGTGACCTTGAAGGTATAGTGACCATAGTGCATCTTTTTTTTTTTTTTTTACATTAATATAAAATTAGTTTAAGAATTTCAGTCTCAGAGGCAATAAACAGCAAGAAGCTTGGAAAACAAGGGTTTTGGAGCAGTAAGCATGTGAAATGGTGCAACCAGGTGTTGGAGTGCAAGCGTTTGTTAGATTGCAGCCCTTAAAGGAGTACTTCACTTTAAAACAAAAACAAAAAAACTTTTGCTGATAATTTACTCACCCTCTTGTCATCCAAGATGTCCATGTTTTTCTTTCTTCAGTCGAAAAGAAATGAAGGTTTTTGATGAAAACATTCCAGCATTTTTCTCCATATAATGGACTTCAATAGGAACCAAACGGTTCAAGGTCCAAAAGACAGTTTCAGTGCAAACTGCAAACTGTTCAAAGGGCTTTAAACAATTTCAGACTATGAATAAGGGTCTTATCAAGCGAAACGATCGCTCATTTAAAAAAAGAAATAACAAAGTTTAAGTTTTATAAACTCAAATGCTCGCCTAGGTCTGTTCTGTGATGAGCGTTCGTGACTCTCCTGTTCGAACTCGTTCATCAAAGTGAACAAATCTTTTTTCGTGTCATTTGGTTCATTCAACGAACGAAATGAATGAGTTGACTCTGGAAAAGATTCGTTCATTTTGATGAACGAGTTCGAATAGGAGAGTCACGATTCACGAACATGCCGTACCAGAGCTTATAAAACTTAAACTTTATTATTATTTTTTTTTAAATGAGCAATCGTTTCGCTTGATAAGACCCTTATTCATAGTCTGAAACCGTTTAAAGCCCTTTGAACAGTTTGCACTGAAACTGTCTTTTGGACCTTGAACCGTTTGGTTCCCATTGAAGTCCATTATATGGAGAAAAACCCTTTTTTTTCAACTGAAGAAAGAAAGACATGGATATCTTGGATGACATGGGGGTGAGTAAATAATCAGCAAAAGTTTTTTTTAAAAGTGAACTACTCCTTTAAAAATGCAATAATGAAATGCGATTTTACTTTGATCAGTGCAATTCAAATGAGCTTATTTATACCAATATGATTTTACATATACAGTACATATATCCATTGAAGATATGAAGATTGATGAAAGTTTGGTCAAGTAAAGTGCTGTGTCGGGTTTTTTTCTGTATTGAACAGAGCCTTTGAAACTTTAATGACCATAACAACTAAATAAAATAAAAGCATAATAGTGTGAAATACTGCAAATAATGGAAGTTTTGAAAACATGGGCTGTTTTTTTCTTCTTATTTCTTCGCGTGTTATTCAATCCAGTCATTGCTATTATTCCATGAGAGAAAGCTTGACTTGCACATAAAAACTCATTTCCACGTACCTGCCTGATATTTTACGTTCGTCCATGCGGCACATAAGAACTGCGCGATCACATGAAGCCAAACGTGTTCATTTGCTGCTTCTACATGAGTCCACAGCACGGCTCTTTTGTGTTAGTCGTGTCCTCCTCTGGTGCTCTCAGCTTCAGTAGAGGTGGATCTCCACTGGCTGGGGTAAAGTACACTGCATTGGGGGCCGCGTCCTGCTGTAGCGATATAATGGGTTCCAGTGGCCCTTCAGGGACGAGCTCATCCTGAGGGCCAGCAGACAGGGGTAAAGGAGGTGCCGGGTGTTTCTGTAGTTTAGCCGCAGCTCTCTGCCGCTTGAGATCTGCGAGCGTGTGGTGAGATCTCTCTCGGCTCATGCTGTCCCCGCTGGTAGCATCCGAATCCGGAGTGAGCTGATAGGATGCGCTGCGATCCCTGCGGCCCCCGCCCTGGAGTTCTCCAGGAAGTGAGGAGGAAAAGGCCGCTGTGCTGCCGTTCCCCAAAACCTGAGCTCCGTTTTCCACCTCCATAACCTCTAATGGATGAACAGGGGTGGCATTAGTACCGGACACCTAAAGTGAAGGAGAGGAATGTACAAGAAAATTCACCAAGGATGGTCAAATCGATACAGTATATCTATATGTAAGACACAAACACATCACTGAGCTCAATAGAGGCTCTCAAACATAAGATCAGTTCGCTATTTACACGATAATTCTATTTTTCATGAAATCATTACATTCAAAATAGCCATAAACAGTCATTGCCAAAGCAGTTGGAAAACGTAGAAAATATTATCAGAACTGACTAATTTAAAGGGCCAGGGGCCTCATTTATAAAACTGAGCGTAGAATCCTTACTAAAAGTGGACGTGCGCTCGAAAGCCAAAAATGTTGTACGCAAAAAAATATTCAGGCTTATAAAACTATTCGTACGCCAGAACCTGGGCAGAATTGGAAGATTATGCGCACATGCGTCTCCACCCCGAAATAACCATATATGGAGATTATAACACCTAGTTTTACTATGCATATCCTCATCTGCATATCATTTGCATATTCATCCACATGATAACATGTTTAACGGTACAAGACATTAGGAAAATATGAAATGCGAATGTTCCGTCACATTACATTAATAAAAATCATTTAGTAGCCCATCCTTCCCTTGTTTTTTAAAATAAATAAAATAAAATAGTGCAACATTTTTCTCAATCTTTTCCACTGGCCAAATAGTATTTTAATTGATTTATATTTTTAATGGAAACAGATAGACCTTGTTGTGCATTATTTGCATGAAACCATTTCCTCAGACAATCTGCTATCATGATAAGCAATTATCTATGTAGTTAACTATGTAGTTAACACATTAAAACACAGACAGCATGCCAGAGGAAGTGTTCAAAAGCATCACATCCGAAAACAAATATTTATATTTACTGAATATAAAAATGTTGTAACTTCTCAGTCATGGTTTCATGTAGTTTAAGTGTTTAACACCATTAATGAGAATGGCATATTTCATCTAAATGTTTATATCAGAAGTTAAACATAGTTTAGATCATTCATTTATTTATTTAAACTGTTATTGTAATCATGCACTGTATTTATGATGGACTCATAATGAAGATTTACGGTTTTACTTCATCTGCGTCAGTTTCACTAAACGGCCCAATATATATATATGAATTCAAAAATATACACTTTCAAAAAAAAAAAAAAATCTTTTACTGATAATTTACTCCCCCTCTTGCCATTCAAGATGTCCATGTTTTTCTTTCTTCAGTCGAAAAGAAATGAAGGTTTTTGATGAAAACATTCCAGGATTTTTCTCCATATAATGGACTTCAATGGAAACCAAACGGTTCAAGGTCCAAAAGAGCAAACTGCAAACTGTTCAAAAGGGCTTTAAATGATTTCAGACGATGAATAAGGGTCTTATCAAGCGAAACGATCGCTAATTTAATAAAAAAAATAATAAAGTTTAAGTTTTATAAGCTCAAAAGCTCAACTTCCTCTGTTCTGTGATGTGCGTTCGTGACTCTCCTGTTCAAAATGAACGAATCTTTTTTCGTTTCATTTGGTTCATTTGACGAACTAAATAAATGAGTTGACTCGGGAAATGATTCGTTCATTTTGATGAACGAGTTCGAATAGGATCTATATCATTTTGAAATCTGGTCAAAGTCTTGCTTTCTTTTCAGCTCTATTTTCCAAAAAAGAAAAAAAAACTTTATTTTTTTTTCTTAATAGTAATTAGACCAAAATAACCAAAAAGGATAAGGTCTTATTTTTTTAATAAGCATGACTGGAAGCTTAGCGCGTTCCCAAACTGTCATATTTCAGAAGGTTTTAAATGCTAAATAATCCAATTTCTCACCAGTGCAGCGTGCAGGTTCAGTTCTGCATCCGTCTGTCTGTCTTCATCATCATCCAGGGCATCTGTCTGTCTTCCTCTCTCTTTCCACACCATGGCTTCCTTCTGATGCTCTCTGCGGTACAGACTGCTGCGCTCATTCACACTGCTGCGCCTCACTACTTTACTGTAAACACAATCCACACAAAGAAGAGCTCACACACTGTTTCAGAGGGGTTCTTTATATTATCATTATTAATTGTATATTAAAGAGCCCCTATCATAGCATTTGAAATGTTCCTATTTTTGTTTCAGGAGTTCCCAAAAACAGTTTAAAGTCCCCGTGAACCGGAAGTTGCAAACGACTTTTCTCCAGTGTTGTGACGTATTTCAGAGAGAAACGGAATACTAAATGAGGCAAAATAGTGGGCGTGGCTTTTTTTCCAACTAGCACCTGATTGGATCTAGAAAAATGGGTGTTTCATTCTGAAATGGAGGATGACGCAAGTTTACACACGCTGTCAATCAATGCTCGCTCGGCGCTCGCAAACACACAGCAGCTGTCAGTTGGAGGGGCGTGGTTATGGATGTTAAGGAGACACCCAAACCGTAAAGCCTACGTCATCGGGCAAGGTCCTCCGATGCAGAGGGGAGGGCCATTTTCAAAATTTGATTAAAAATTACGAAGCCAAAATTTTTTTTTTTGTGTGGATTGACTTGCATGTATGAATTGTTCACCACAAAACGATCAATTTAGGTAAACAAAGTAAGTACGGTCAATTTTGATTTCATGGGGACTTTAACATGCATGCAAGGATAAAAAACACTTTATTTGTCTTATAATATGCATTTATTTTTAACTGATTTGCTCACCGACTCCCAAATGATTCGTACAACGACTCATTTTTCCAAACCACTCCTTTGCGTGACGCTAATCGGCGGTGATTGGTCAGATGACAGACCCAGTCAGTTATTGTTTGTTAGCATAACGCATAAACATATTGATAAAGCACTGCAGTACTACAAGACGCTCTATTCTTTATGACAACTCCAATAACAGCGACAAACATTTCACATATTTAAAAAAAAAATTACATTGGAGACCAAGAAGCTGCGCTGAGCGTAACTTACACACACACAGATACACGCGCACACACACATACTGCCTCGGGGCCCCGATGCAACAAAACCGTTCAAAACCCATAAAAGCAACAATTGTTAATAATACTTACAGGTTGTGATTCGAAGGAGGAAGCTGATCCATATACACTGGGTAAGTAAGTTACTGAGCCCTCCTTCAGGAACAACCGTTTGCGAATCCACATTTGAATTCATTTATGTTTTTGAACTAACGTTAATCATCAATAAAATATGTACTGTTGTGGTATCGTTGCAAATATGAACTCTAACCACCGATTCTTCACATGCTCGTCCCTGGTAATTGAAAACAAAGTGGCTGAACTGTCTTTGCATTGTAGAACACAGCGTCTTCTCGACATGATGCTATGATGAAGTATTTGAATGTGTAAACTTCAAGTTTACACTTCCGTCTGTGCGCGCAGTAACTGGGCGCGGCCAATATGTATCGTCACGATGTAACAGCTAATGACTCGTTTCAAAAACAATTCATTTCATAGACTCAGAGTCGACTCTCACTTTTGAAAGACAATAACTTTATATACGGTGCACTTTCAGATATAAATCTTTGCAAGATGTTTTCATTCCCTTAGAGCTATATTCCACACCATATGAACAGTCATTTTCAAAAATCCATGATAGGGGCTCTTTAAGATCTCAATTGGCATGATAACACTATTATTTAATCATGAAAAATGCCAACTACAGCATTACAGTATAAACGATAACGCAACTGAGCGATGCAAAAAAAATACAGCATTCCAATCACAGACAGCGAGGCTGTTTCCATGGTTTTGACAACATGCTCTGGTGCAAATGATCATTTTATGCTGTGGTAACAGTTTCTTCTTAAATATAAAGGGGGAATCAATTCGATTTTGAATACAACCGTCACAAGCTCTCAAGTCTTTTGTTTTGCTGTTAGTTCTCACCCTCTGCTGCCCGTGCTGGACACTCGTCTCTGCAGTGTGTTCTTGTGTTTGTCCTGACCCTTCATGATGGCATCATGCTTGTGTTTCAACTCCATCATTTTGGCCCGGACCTCCTCATCAGTGCACACATCTGCAAAACAACACAAGTAGTATTGTGAAGCCTCCTGCCAAGTCAGTCTTGACCAAGCATGTGGGATGTGTCGTTTACCCAGAGGAGTCTCGTCCAGCTCAGACTTGGCGTTTAAACTCGCACCGTTAGCCACCAGCAACTCCACCATATGGATCTATAAGAGCAGAAAGACCCAATCACAGAAGAATAAACATCAATTTTGCTATTAAAGTCAGTATAATCATTTCAACTAACAGCTTTATGATTTAAAGGTCCATTACATGTTTGAAATGGCTAAGTTTACCATTTATTACTTACTAATCAGAAGGTGGGGCAGGACATTTTGAAAAAGGCAAAGAACCTTTCCTTAATTTCTCAGTCATGGAATATTATTGGTTAGTTGTTATTGCCAATTAAAAGGTAGACAGTTGTTTTAATACTGGTTGAAACTCTTCACATCCTGATAGCCAGTGTTACTAAGTAATCAGTAACTGTAATTTAATTACTTTTCCCTTGAAAATGTAAAGTAAGGGACTACTCTTCATTTATCTGTAATTTAATTACAGTTACTTCTGATGTAATTAAGGTAAATACTGTGTATAGATCAATCCGATCTCAAAGCAATTCGTATGCATTTTATGAGGTGTCTAAATTGTACGACCGCACTTCGTATGAATTATTGTAAAATATGTATGAAAAAAGTGTGAAATGTCATGAGATCAGACATAAAACTTACAGGTTTTATGTGGGTTTAACATCAAAATGTATTGTCTGATGTTAAAAAGTATGTTTTTATAATGTAACCTTCTCCACCTTGGTCTGTTTAAAGATAATTCATGCAATTTTATAGTATTTATTTGAAAGAATTAAAACAGATTCATGTCTATCCTTGTATTATTCAGCTGGTTGAGATTGATTAGGGGATTTTGAAAGTAATTAGTAATTAAAAGTAATTAAATACTTTTTAGAGAGAGTAATTAGTACAGTAATCTAATTTTGAAGAGGTAATTAGTAACTAGTAATTAATTACTTTTTTAGAGTAACTTAACCAACACTGCTGATAGCAATCAATAATAGAAGTGGTCGAAATGCTAAAACATTTGGAAGTCACAGGAACAAAAACCTACCTACCTGCCAGACTTATGCGTTTCTATGTCAACACTATCAATGGCAAAATGAATCTACAGCAGCATGGTACAACTAGAGCTCTGTAAGTAGTTTACGTTCATTATTATTGTAATGTTATGTGCTTTGAGACATGAGGTAATTTAATGCCGTCTCATTTCGTGACACTTTGCAGATGCTGCTGCGTTTTGAAGGAAACGTGGCTTTGGAGAGCGCTCTGAAGGGAGGGTGGGATCTTATGCTTTCAAAGCTAGCTTGCTTGCTATTGCTAGCCTGTTTGACACTGCCTACCCTTCCTTAAATGGCAGGTTGTATTAAGGCAGGGGCGCTCAATCCTGTTCCTGGGGATCTACCTTATAACAAATTTTAGCACCAACCCTAATCAAACACATTTGTATCAGCAAATTAAAATCTTTCATAAATTACAAAGAGGTGTGTTGGAGCAGAGAGTGTTTACCAGTTTATTGTTTTTTTAACCTGCCTTCTGTTCTGATTGGCCAGCCGAGTCTCAGCCTGTTGTGATTGATCAACTGCTTAAACCATATCAGACATGTAATGCCCCTTACCATAACCGGCTCGTTTCAGCACTGGAGTCTGTAAATACTACTGTAACTACGCTAACTATGCCAACAGTTTTGCAGTATCAATTCAAGTCATAGTCTGATAATGACAGGCAGAGAACAAGAGAAAAAGCTGATCGACCCAAACCACCATCGCAAGCATGACTTCACAGTTCCTTTTTTATTTTATACCTCTCTTACATTTCAGATATGAGGTTATAACTGTGTAATTCCTCTACATCATGGTAAAAACTGTGTCTGTTAACACAAAAACTCTTTACTACTCCCTATGAAACTTTGCTTTCTATAAAGTCGGCATGAAATTTACTCGATATTTAGATTTTGCTTAAAGGTCTGTACGAAACATATTTAAAAAGTACAATAAGACCAGTAACATGAATATTTAAGAAAATAAATGGGGTACATTTTGATATAATAGAGGCTGCTGCCTATAAACCCTCATGAGTGTCAATATTCACCTGTCCCCAGCAGGCGGCAGCATGGAGCGGCGTCCACCCGTCAGCGTCCCGGTCGTCAGGAGAAATCCTGTGCTCGAGCAACAGCTCCCCCACTGACATGTATCCATGAGCAGCAGCTATATGCAGCTACACAGAGAACTGGATCTTCAGTTTTTGTAATATTATAAATGATCGTCCTGTCTGTATGTACTGCGGTCTCTCACCAGAGTGGCCCCCTGCTCGTCCTTCACATTCAGATCACCTCCGCTCGCCACCAGCTCTCGGAGGTCAGACAGCATCGCTTTCTCCTTGGCTCCGCGACATTCGTCAATTCTCTCCTGAGTAATCCCTAATTACAAACATACAAACAGAAAGTCAGTACTTTTTGACAACTCTAAATGCATTCCTGTCCAAGTGACATTGCAAAACAGAACTAGTTTATGAGCTTTTAAAGGTAATGTTCATCAACACTGCACATTTGAGGATTGATTTGGCTCAATATTGGGTAAATTATAGGCAATCCTCACCCTGCTCTGCCATGATCATCTCTATGAGCTCTAGCGTAGCCTCGTCCTCACACAAATCATACGGCATGTTTCCATCGGCATTCACCGCCAACAGATCTGCACCCCTAAACGCATCAACAAGACAGTCTGTATCACAGTTTTAAAGAATAAAAGTTGTGTATGACAAAATGCAGTAAGATCTGCATGACAAATAAACTGAGACTTACGCTTCTATCAGCATCTGGACGAGGTTAGTGTGCCCGCAGGTGGCCGCTGCATGTAAAGGGGTCCATAGCTCACTGTCACACGCATTCACGTTTGCGCCCGCGTCCAGAAGACAGCGGGCTACATTCAAAAAATCATCTATGCAGCTCTGTGGAGAAACAGCTGTATGAATTCTGGGCTGTAGAAAACATGATTCAATAGTAGGGATGTGCCAAGACAGTCGGCTAAGTCCTCCAACAACCAACTAGTTACTAGATATACCGACAGATATTTGACTTTTTTTAATCAATGATTTGTCTGAAGCAGACTTTTGATGGCGCCAAGACTTTTGTTTTGTAAAATGTTCAATGTACACGTATCCTTCCCTTTTGGTTGAAGTAATCCTTTAAAGCTACACTATGTAACTATTTTAGTTTATTCTTAGCTAAAAACACTTAGTTCTTTCAAAAATGTACGTGCTCATTAATGTATATTTACTTCGTTCAAGTAAAAAAGTATTCTCGTGAGTGTATAATATTCCATTGAAAATACATACGGGTAAGGGGTTCTAATGTCGGTCGCCATGTTGCCCCTCCATCTTGAAAGTACATTAGCCAAACAGGGACATTCCCGTTAATTCAAGCTTCGCCTTTCACGTTTACGTTTGAGTTAACACTCATGGACGAGGTCGAACTGGAAGCCATGTTAATCTTGGACTACATTGGCCAAAAACGAAATCGGAATTGAGAGGAACAGAAACTATTATTCACTGGATGATCATATACATTTTCACTGCTAGATGGGGCTAAAAATCACACAGTGTAGCTTTACGTGTGTATATTTTTTAAATTTATTTAAATATAATTTAATTAATAATGTAATAGCAGTATTAGTGCATCAGTTTGAATGCAGATACTGCACTGTGTGAAAATTATATTCTAAAGAAGATGAACCAGTCTGCAGCCCAACAAGTTAAATGGATACTTCAACTCTGGAAAGATGAATGTGTATTTAAAATGGGTCATTTATGTAGAAGAAATGGGAAATTATTGTTGAATTTGGAGATTTCTAGACTGAGAAAAGCCAGAAAAGAACATTTTTGGCTTATGTGGATGAAAGACAACAACTCCCAGAATGCACTTGCTTCACTGCCCTAGGAGGCCACACCTACCGGTAACAGAGCGCAGTAGGTAAACAACAAGTCTAGGCTACTAGTGAGTCTCCGTGATGAGTCCGCCCGAAAATGTGTTTCGAGATCGCCCAAAATGTCCTGGATTCGGCTTTTCCGTTATACACTCGCCATTTATTGTGTTTACTGTGGCGAGCAGGACAAGTGAGGCCCGTGGGAGAACGACGCGAGGCCGGTGGCATGATTACCGATGAGCAACACCTGTAAGACGCACCGGTCTCGTATCTCCCACGAAAGAGCGGGAATTTTCTTAGCAATGGTAAAACGCACATCAACCGATCACTTGTTTAGTGTTTATGTAAACACTACATTCAGATTCACCAATCGGAATAAATTCAGTAAGACTGAAACAAAAGCTGTGCATGTAAATGAATGGCGACCGCAGAATCTGAATCTCGGACATCGAGGGCTGGACATGTTCGGGAAACAGAGGATGGTAACCCCTACTACTCAGCTTTCTCCACAGAACAAGAGCCTGCTACTGTAGCTTAGCTAGTTAGCTTCCAAAACAAGATGGCTGACACCATAGACATAATATATACATAGACGCCCTATTGGCCGCTGGAGCGTACGTCAACGGCGCCGCCATATTGGGGAGATCAATTTTCCCATACCTCTCATACCTCTTTTGTGCGCTGCTTGGGGCTGTAAAAATCGCCACACAACTGAAAACAGCTTTCGAGGAAGAACCTTTCACAAGCAAGACTGAACGTTTGTTTTTGGTTGTATTTGGTCATGATTTAATTAGTAAGTAACGTTTAGAGATTAAATACTACTGTTATTGTGTCACGCAATGTAGTTTTAATAGTTTTTCAGTCGACAATGTAGTTGTTTAAAGCTCAAATATGTGGTTTGTTTATAAAGATAGAGCCTATTTAAAAAATTTGATCTGAAGTTTTCGGAGTTGCTGCGCCCCCGCCCAGCGCTCGTCTCCCCCGCCTGGAACAACCGTACCACGGTCAGTGCTTCTGACGGTTGCCGCTGGCTCGGATGTCTCTAGTCTAGAGGTTAAACATGAGATTTAATTCGTATAATTTGTGTTTATCTTTGGTCTCATTAATCTATAAATGGTTCCCTGGTAAATAGGTTTGGCTGAAGGCAAAGTAAAGTTTCATAACTTTATATTTAGGCTATTTTAACATTGTATGTTTGACTGAAGCTACTTCTGTTATAATGGCTAGCCTATTACTGATCAATAAAACTGAAATTTAGCACAAAGAGCTAAATATTAAATATATTTTTTGTGTGTGTTTATTCTGTAGTTGAAATGTCTTATTCTATTGCTATTATTATAGAATTATTAATAAACTATTATCAATATTTTTACATGTATTCATTACCATTTTATTTGATGTATACTATTTGTTTATTTTATTGACTTACTAGTACTTTTCACTTTATGTTATAATTACTATTTGCATTGCACTGCATGCCCAGTTGTACCACAACATATTATCATAAATGATCCATCAGTTATCAATGTTATTGCTAAAATCTGGTCAATCACATAAAATGCTTTTTCCAAAATGAGCAAACTTAAATATCTCAGTATGGGGATCTTCACCATTCTTATCCAAGAATGTTTTTATCCAGAAAAACGCAGCTCACCCGTTTACTTACATCTAATTACAATGCAGTCTTGACCTCCGCAAAATGGCGGACCCGTTGACGTATCGCAGCAACGTTCCAAAGCGGCCAATAGGGCGTCTATGTATATATTATGTCTATGGTTGACACTTGTGTCCATTCTGTGAGAGAGATCCCACCCTCTATGGGCGGGTTGAGAACATGCGAGACAGTAGTCTACTACTGACTGTAGTCTTTAGCCTCAAGCCAAAAAATCCTCAATGATGCAAAATGACGATTTTTGCATCATCAGAGGATTTTTTCCAGACAAAAAAAACCCATAAATCTCTCGATATGAGGGTGGAAAGCACGGTTATTCGAAAATACTACAGGTTTTCTACTAATACAAGGCTTAATGTTAAATCCTGAAGAATCCATTTAACTGAAAATATTACTTCAGGGAAGGTAAATTCTTTTATCATGACTTACACCAACTTTTTTGCTTGTGCTCCTAAATTTAAATAATGCTTAGTCACAGCAATTCCTTAATGGTCACGTACACGCAGATGATGTATATGTGTGTTTGTGTCCATGAGTGTGTACCTGATGTAGCGCAGTGAGCCCGTCCTCATTGTACAGGTCTGGACTGACTCCATTATTCAGCAACTCTCGTACTGCCAACAGACACAAAAGCTCTAAAGTCACCAAACCTACGAACTCTAAACATTTTGAACAAATGATGACATAAAAGGGAAAGTTCATCCAACAAAAAAAAAAAAGAAAAAAATAGAAAATTCTGTTATAATTGACTCAACCTCATGTGAGTAAATGGCAGAATTTTCATTTTTACTTACACTGTCTTTTCTTTTTTGAAAAGACACTGTGATTTCACTGTGATTTTTTTTCCCATACAAAAGGAAGTCAAGAGGGTTGTTTGGACCTATTTACAAATTTGTAATTTATAAACCAAATTGTAAATATACATATTAGAAAACCATGAAAACATATTTTCAAAAAATGTGCCCAGTGTGTGAAATTATTTTGACATTCTAAAAAAATAATTAAACATTAAGCTAAAATCACCTAGCATAAAAAGGTGGCTCAGGGAGATGGTACTGAATATGTCAATGGAGAAAATAACATATATTATTAAAGGAAAGGGTAAGACTTTTGAGGATGTTTGGAATCCCTTTAGATCATTCATAGAGAAAGAGGATAGTGACCTGTTTAAAGAGACAATTGAAGATATGTGAGTTTATAGGATATATTTGTATTAGGAGGCCTTAATAGTTTGTACGTGTTTTTTTTATTTTTTATATATATATATATATTTTTTTTTTTTTTTTTTTTTTTTTTTATGTTCATTAATCTTGAAGATGCGAATCCTGTACAAATTGAGATATGCTAAGTTGTAATGATGCGAAAGACATCAATATGTGTCTATACTGTATTTTGTATTTTTGTTCTGGGTGTGTGTGTTTTATATGTTGGTAAAAAAGTTAATAAATATATTGAAAGAAAAGAAAAAAAACATTAAACTAAAATGTTCACATTTTTGGCTATATCTACATTAATCCGGATAAAATTTTAAATCGCCATTTACGTTTCAAAGCGCTCTCTGTCCACACTACCATCTTCAAACGATTTCTAAAAGTCTCTCATCCACACTCGAACATCTGAAAACAATAAGTTCACCTTACTGCGCATGCATAAAACCTTATAAAATCTCACAGACACAGACAAAACAGACATACTAACGTTCTCATGCTATTCTTCTGCTGAATCATTTTATTCAGCAAAATATCCCACCATGCGTCCAAGGTCACACTCATAAGTTTAGTACAAACTGCACTCAAGTTTTGCTGCAGGACAGCAATTGCGAGTAAATTTGGTCATCTTTTCAGGATTGCGATATGAAGATTGTACAAAGTTTAGACATGTAACAGTGTGAAAGTGAATAGCACAATAACGGTAAACAGATATCTGTGATATCACATGACTAAACATGCGTCATCATTTTCAAATACCTACCATTTTCACATTCTACACTGCAAAGCAAAAATGGCACTTTCAAATTTATCCACTTGGGAAAGAGTTTTCAAAAAGCTCAGTTTTCGCAGAACAAGTGGAAGGAAGGTCAAAATGGAGAGAAAAAGACACATTTTTTAAATGTATTAGTCTGGACAATGCCTTTATAGCAAACCAATCAACTTCCGTTGAAAATATAGTAGGATTATTTTTACTAATGATTTGGTGTTTTGAACTTGTGTTTAACTGTATTATCTGGATTTAACAGCTGATGAAACAGACAGAGAGAGGAAGAGGAGGAGATTTATAACTGCTTTTAAAGGGATAGTTCACTTTGAAATTAATTTTTGATATGTTTTAGCTTACCTCAAGGGCGTCTTTGTTTCCACAGTATTTTCAATTTTGACATTTTTCAGTCAAACCGTTGTTGTCTATCAGTCATACACTGGAGGCTAAGGGGGTCCACCAAAAAACATGCACAGAGAAGTCAAATTTAAACATGATTTAATGACTCGTAAATGTAAATACACATTGATGGCCTAAGACCCGAAACGAACGGTTTTTGTGAGAAAACGAACAGTATTTATATCGTTTTTACCTCGTGTAATCACAGTGCCGTCAAAGTGATCTGAATCAGTTGTGCAATGTCCAACTGAACCGAACTGAATCAGTTCAATGTTACACCGGAAGTGATCGCTTGCGTGTGACGTCACTCAATATTTACACTGAGATTTTGGAGGTTTTACCTTTTACTAAACATATTTAGATATACCGAAATCGTCTTCCATTGCGGTTTCCCGTATATCTAAATATGTTTAGTGAAAGGTAAAACTTCCGAAATCTCTGTATAAACAAAGAGTGACGTAGGCGCGCAAGCGATCACTTCCAGCGCATGCGCAGACCGAAGCGCCCGTGCCGTCAAATAATTTTGTCATGGTTATGATTACAAGAGGTAAAAACGATATAAATACTGTTTGTTTTCTCACAAAAACCGCTCGTTTCGGGTCTTAGGCCATCAATGTGTACTTACATTTACGAGTCATTAAATCATGTTTAATTTTTACTTCTCTGTGCATGCTTTTTGGTGGACCCCCTTAGCCTCCAGTGTATGACTGATAGACAACAACGGTTTGACTGAAAAATGTCAAAATTGAAAATACTGTGGAAACAAAGACACCCTTGAGGTAAGCTAAAACATATCAAAAATTAATTTCAAAGTGAACTATCCCTTTAATAATTACATTACTGAGAAGATCTAGCAAGATTTAGCTTGGATTATTTTTTACATTTAAAAACCTGCAGTTTTAACAGGGGTGTGTAGACTTTCTACAGCCACTGTAATAAGGGAAAGAGATTTGCAGTATTGCTACTCTACTCTTACCCTCCTCTATGTCATTCCTGGCTGAAGCCTCCAGTAACGTTATGTTGGTGTGGAAGGTCACCCTTCTGCCTTTCTTCACCCCATCTCCCTTGTGACCACGGGCACTGTCCTTGTCCATCTGCTCCCAGCCTTTCAGCTGCTGCGCGCGTCTCTTCTGCGCCTGCTTCAGGCGCTCAGTGGCCGAAAGACGGCCGATAGTTGCCATTTCTGCTAGCAGCTCTCCATGCTCTGCCATATCTTCCAAGTCAAGACTCTCAACGTCTTCTCAGTCCCTTCAGACACCACGAAGACTGCTTGGACCTTCTGCTGTCTCCTATCACAGACATTCGACTCTCTCAAACCTGCAGATGTGATGTCCAAGTGCCTGATGAGAGCTGCATACAAACTCGTGATCCAATGGGATAATGAAGAGATGCAGGTGACAACCGAAGACGGACCATATTCTTGATAACTTTCCCTATGTGGACCAAGAGGACAGGTTCTGTAAAGAAAGAGCGAAAAGTTCAGATGTCTTGCATTTTAAGTGAATTTACACACCGGAAATACAGAAAGAAAGATTTAAGGTAAATATTATATTTGAACTGTGTTATAGATTAAACTAGTTTGAATGAGATAATATTTACCACTCCTAATACTAGAGGAAGTGTAATCTCCTAATATCAAGAGATATAAAACAATGAATCTGAATGATATAAGAGTTTGTGTGTCTGAAACAGAGTTTACTATACATTTTTAAGTAACATGTTAAGTGCATGTTTTACATAACAAATTTGTATGCAAAATCACGTCTCTGCTCAGCCAACATGCGTTCTTAAAGGGAAAGCACGGTTCAGGAGATGGGCTTAATCTCTGTCATCATCATCTATTCCTAGGTTTTCCATCTTCAATATGCAATATAAGGGACAATAACTCCCATTGAACCCAAATAATAATATTTAATATTTCCTACATACAGGCTTTAGCTTAGAATTGCTCTCCAAGCATGTCTTTATGGGTCTTAAGTTCTCAATATTCACTGGAGGGAAACAACTGTAGAGTGAAGAGTGGTGAACTTAGCAAAAAATTGGCGAAAACAGGCAATGGGAAACCGTCTTGTGTTGCTCCTGCATTAAAGGGTTAGTTCACCCAAAAATGAAAACTCTGTCAGTATTTACTCACCCTCGTGTTGTTCCAAACCTCTCTGTTTATTTGTTCTGCTGAACACAAAGAAAGATATTTGGAAGAATGTTTTAATCAAACAGATCTCATTCCCCATTGACTACCTAGTCAATGGGGAATGAGATCTGTTTGATTAAAACATTCTTCCAAATATCTTCCTTTGTGTTCAGCAGAACAAATAAACACATAGAGGTTTGGAACAACATGAGGGTGAGTAAATACTGACCGAATTTTCATTTTTGGGTGAACTAACCCTTTAAGGAATACGCTCTGAATAACGCAGACTAAAAGAAGGGGAAGAGCTGAAGCCTGCCGTTTTCTGTGTTTTAAATGGGACTGAGGTGATCGTAAGTTCATGTACACATTTAATCACACATATTTAAGGGGGGCTTGGTAGAAATGTGGGGGCTAAAGTGTCCCTAATGGCGCTTTTCCACTGCATAGTACGGTACGGTTCGGCTCAGTACGGTTCGACTCTGCGCGGAACAGTTCGGCTCGCTTCGCGTTTCCACTGCATGGTACGTTTTGAGTCGGTACGGATCGGTTCGGTTCGCTTAGCTCTGTTGCTTTCCACTGCATTAGTACCCCTTCAAAGTGTGTGGGACTGATCGTTATTTGCGCGCACCTCTACTGCCATGACATCATCTTAAAAGCGCCACATTTTCAAACCCACAACACAGGAACAATGGAGACTATCGAGGGGATGGTGTTCCTGATTCTCGGTATGTGGTTGTTTTTAACTGCTAGACGGAAAAATGTGTTTAAAATGAGGCTGATGGCAGCAAAACAAAAATACTGCTAAAAAAGTGTCTCGTGTCGCAAATCCAATGACGCTAGTAGTGACGCTGGTAGTGACGATTCTGTCTGACCAATCAGTGATCTACAGTGTTTCACATCACATTTTAGTACCGGTACGATACGCTTGGAACCTCAACAGACCAGGTACCATTTAAAGCGACCCGAACCGAACCGTACTGTACCGTACCATGCAGTGGAAAAGCGCAAAAGTGAGCCGTACCGAACTGAACCGTACCGTACTATGCAGTGGAAAAGCGCCATAAAACAGGGCCTACTGTCCACTGTCCTGTCCACAGCCCTGCAGAGTTTATGCTGCGTTTACACCATGTCATACTTACAGTGGTCTCAAGATGACAACACGTGATGTTGTATTCTGAGCTGTTCACATCTTCGTACACTATGTGTTTTTTAACGATCCACTAGTTTCCCCATAAGCAGGCTGTCAAAAAAACACGTCTCTGTAGGCACCCTAGGCTGTGAGATCTGCACACAAAAACAAATGGGAACAACCACCACTCAAAATCAGCATCTATCGACTCTATGCTTTTAACGGAACAGATAACGGACTCTAGCAAATATCAGATTGTAGGGATTTAGTGTGTGAGTTGCGTCTACTTGTAGCCATAACATTGTAGCCTACTATTAGCAATAACACTAGCCTACGTTCAGGACTAACTTTAGCCGAATAATAATAATAAGCTGTTAGAATATTATTCCAGATAGCTGTTGTTACCTTGAATTTTCCCCATAATGTTAGATCTGTAGCTATATGACTGATTCTGGTACGTTTTATCATACAGCTGCTTCCAGTGAAGCACCAGCAAAACTAGCTGTATTATATGACATGGCTCGACTGCATATTTTATATAAATCATTATACTTTGTCACCCAAAGCAGCGAAGTTCACATTTTTCAGTTCACAGAATGAGCCATCATTGAGGTAGACCTTAAATCTGAAAATAGTGTGTTTTTGTCACTTTAAGAAACGCGCGTGCATGATCGTTGCATGCGCGAGCTAACTATACCAAGAGTTAAAAAAAAACACAAAGTAAGTCCATTTTAGCTATGCCACACAGGCCTAGTGAGAATCAACTTCTAGTAGCCAGATTAGAAAAAAATATATATATTTTTATTGTTCATTTTGTTTCTTAAGCATCTGTTATGATTATTGTATGATTATTCTTAAATTATTTTATGTAAAGCCCTTTGAATTACCAATTGTGCCATCTATAAACTTGCCTTGCATTACATATATGTAAGGTCTACACACAACAAATGTATGGCCAGTGCGTAGCACTAAAACAATAACAAATATTAAAATGTCTCTGAATGTGTGGATGCTCTTCCAATGAAATTGAAAATTTTCATGTATTCATCGCTAATCAAATATCCATTCACTGATGTAACATAATCAGGACTAAACTTGGTGTGACTACATAGACGGTTAGCCCCAGGTGTATGTACTATGTACAAGGTGTAATATGTAAAAAATGGTTGAAAACAGCCACAGGGTTTTATCTATCATATTATTCATGCAAACAAAGGCCATTGCATGGAAGCCTGAATCCACTAAATATTAAAAAAAAAAAAAAAAACAATTGTGACTTTACATCTCACAATTTTGACTTTTCAGAAACACAACTTGAACAACCTGAACACATTTCCCTCATTAATTACTGTTTTGTTTTTGTAAAACCTACATTTGGATCAAACCATTGGATCAAAACTTGTGCAAAAAAGTCTTTAAACTTAAAGTTTTTGAAAGTTATCAAAATGTACTGTAATAATTTACAGTCAAATTGAAAATGCAATGAAATTCTGTCCCCATTTGATACCCATTCTTTGTTATTTAATCTAAACACTCAACGGATCTGGAGAGGCTTGGCCACTTAGTGACGATAAAACAAACATAAAGGCTCTATGATCATTTGTTCAAGATTCTTTGGCATTCATAGGTCAATTATTATCAAAAACATGTTGAACTTTGAAAGCAAGGCTTTTTCTGCACTAATAATGACTTGACATGTGTGTAAGGTGTGAATCTGAGATGGTTAAAGTTGGTGCAGATAACAGCCAGACAAAACTACAACAAATGCATAATCTGAAACAAAACATAATCTGTTAAATCTACGTCATATAACAAATTTCCATTATTTTTTGTCGGCTAGGCTATAGTATATCCTACACATGAATTTTCATTAAAATTCATCTGCTTTCCATCAAATTATGCTCTCTGGATGTTTTATTATAGTGGAAAGCATGTCATTTCAAGTAATCAAAAGGACCAGAAAATGAACTAAACTAAAAAGTATAACATGCATGACCTTTTAAGATCTATAAAAAGTTATCTCTGATAAATGCAAAGTCTTTAACTTTGTCCTAAAGAAGACTCCTCTAGAAGAAGCATTTTTACAGGTGTAGATGCCCTAATTTAAAAAGTTTTCAGAGGTTGTATTGTTGACTAGAGTAAAAAAATTAAAATAAACAGTAAGTATGCACGTGATAAGCCAGCTCCTTTTTAGCCCCGTTTTAATACAAGAGTAAACCGCCAAGAAAAGAGATTCATTATTCATAGGCACTAAGCAGATTTAGAGGCGGAACAGCGAGAGTGAGAAGTTCTCCTAATCCAAATGTTCTGGACAGGATCAGCACAGCAGTATAAAGACTCATTCAGCATGTCACGTGCTTTAATGCCAGAAACTTGCCATCTGACCATACAGATCTCACTCACTGTGATAGCGTGATACAGAAATATCACAGGTTAATGACAATAACAGAAGTGCACTATAAGTCATATTAGTCTTTGTTCTTTTTTTTTTTTACTGATTTTACTTCTTTTTTCTCTTGATCTCTTTAAATAGTTTGATCTGCCTGCTACAAATACAAACATTTCAACATAAAACTAAATTATAAAACATTTTGAGATGACTCATTACCAGCGATTTGAGGTCAAGTGACAATGCAGCACATTGTTTGAAACATTTCTCATTGCGTACTGCATCACATTGACACCTATTCATTTTAAAAGCATCAGGAAGTAGTATACATTACTGTATATAGTACAGTAAATATTTTAAAGAATTCAGTGTAAAACACAGCCTGTCACTTTACTGAGAACAGCATTATGAAAATGCATATATTTTCAACAGCTAAAGAAATATTTTGGGTTCAGTAAAAGCTCAATCAACAGAACTTGTGACATATTATGTTGATTGCCAAAAAAAATGTATATATCCATATTTTCTCTTTTTTTAAGAGCAAAAATTTGAGTTATAGTAAGGCACTTAAAATAGTGAATGGGACTTATATTCAATTTTCAACTCTCTCAGCATAACAACAAACAAACACTGTAAAAAATAATACTGTAAAAAACGGTAAACTACTGGCAGCTGTGGTTGCCAGCATCATACCGTAAAAAATACGGTGTATTACTGCTTTTGTGTTAGAGCATATAGCTGTTAAATTAAAGTTTTACACTCTAGCTAACAATACGGTATTTAGCTGTTAATTTCAAAAACAGTAACACACCATATTTTTTACGGTATGATGCTGGCAACCACAGCTGCCAGTAGTTTACCGTCTATTTACAGGATTATTTTTTACAGTCAGTAAAAATGCTGATTTAAACAGCTTTACAGATCATACTTGAACAGCAGTGTTGGGTAAGTTACTCTAAAAAAGTAATTAATTACTAGTTACTAATTACCTCTTCAACAGTGTAATTAGATTACTGTACTAATTACTCTCTCTAAAAAAGTATTTAATTACTTTTAATTACTAATTACTTTCAAAATCCCAGCTGAATGATACAAGGATAGATTTTAATTCTTTCAAATAAATACTATAAAATTGCATGAATTATCCTTAAACTGACCAAGGTGGAGAAGGTTACATCATAAAAACATACTTTTTAGCATCAGACAATACATTTTGATGTTAAACCCACTATTGTTTTGTGTCTGATCTCATGACATTTCACACTTTTTTCATACATATTTTACAATAATTTATACGAATTTGTACGAGTGCGGTCGAAATATTTAGACACCTCATAGAAAGCATACGAATCGCTGTGAGATCGGATTTATACACAGTATTTACCTCGATTACATCAGAAGTAACTGTAATTAAATTACAGATAAATGAAGAGTAACCCCTTACTTTACATTTTCAAGGGAAAAGTAATTAAATTACAGTAACTGATTACTTAGTAATAAGTTACACCCAACACTGTTGAACAGATGAATGTACTGCAAGTTTATTTATAACAGAATGCTGTTCTGTTAACATGGGCACGGGGAAATATGCACTGCAAACAGTGTTGCCAAGTCTGCTTATTCTAAGCGACTTTGGGCTTGTTTTTTTGTAAAGTCGCTTGCAAATAATGGGAGTCGCGGGTCGCATTTTTTGGGGATTGTTTCTAAAGTGTAGTTGCTTATTTGGGCTTGTTCCCAGCTCGGTGCCAAGCAGATATTTTCTATGTTATTTAAACGTAGGAGTTTGTCTTGCCTGTTCCCTCTCTCCCTTTCCACATTCAAAGAGTTTTTTTCCCACCCACATCCTGCTTCTAATTGGCTCTGACCCAGATGGCAACGAGTACTAGCCAATCAGAGGCAGAGCAGGGCAATTGTTGTTGTTGTTGTTTTCCGGTTAGGAAAAAAATCAGTGAGTGACGTTAAAATGAAAATACGTACGAGTCTGGACCATCGCGACTGATGATGACTGGACTGTAGGAGAGTTTTATATATTAATTATGTGTTAAATATTTTAGATATAGATATTACAATTTAATATCGTTTAACCCTTTAACTGTCACTCCCCCTTTTTTCACGAAAATCACTATCCAATGGTTGTAATTCAAGAATGCTTTGTAATATAAACCTATTTGGTCTTGTTTTAAAGAATACATTTGCCAAAATATTTTTGAAGTGAAGTATTATGAAATTAGGAAAGTGAAACAGAAAAAAAGTTAAAAGTTTGAGTTTATGAACATGAAAAATGTAAAAATATAATTATTTCTATTTTATATAATATATATATATATATATATTACAAATTATATTTTACTCTAAAACTGCAAGAAAATGTAAGCCAAAAATCTGAAGAAGTTCCAAATTTTAGGTTGATATCTCAAAAATTAGCTTTCAGTCAGATTTTATTTGGGCGCAGTACAAACACTAGATGGACAGCCAAGCTTTATTACAGAAGAAAAATAAACTGTACCTCAGTAGAAAAAGCGCTTTAAGGGCCGGTTCACATATCGAGTCTTTTGCGCGCTCAAGTTCGTTATTTCAAATGTAGGCGCGCGGTATGCGCGCTCATAATGGAAGCGACGCGGTCGCGGTGCGACGCGCTCGTTTTTTCCAGGCGCGTCCGCGCCGCATCGAGATAAAAACATCTCAACTTTTCAGAATGCCGCAAGCGCACCGTAGGTCACGTGACACGAACCAACCAATCAGCTCGCCATTTTTGTTACCTCTTCTTAAAATATAATCAAACTGGTCCTTGTCCACTCTGAAATAGGCTTTGAACCTCCCATTGTCCAGGCGGAGTTCCTGAATCAGCTGGTGAAATTCCCCATGGTTCTTGCGTTTTTTTAGTATGGGGTGCACCCAAACACTGCGGCGTTTTTTTACTTTTCTGAGTAAATAAATCTTGTAACAGAGTTACAGCAAGGGTTTGTCGGTGGTGGAAATCCATTGCTGAAATTTCCTTCATGTAATGGAGAGCGCAGCTGATGGTTGCTTAGCAACGACAGACGCATCCGGAGTGCAACCGCCCTAGCGCTTCTTTGGAAAAAGGAGAACGCGTGCGCCTAGCGTTTTCTACGCGTTTTTAGGCGCGATATGTGAACGGCCCCTTACTGTCTATGAGCAAAAGTCGCTTGTTTTGGGCTTGTTTTCACCGGCTTGGTTGCTTATTTGTCTCGCGAGATCTGGCAACACTGAATGCAAACTATGTGCGAAACAGGCGTACAGATGGCCCATTGATCTTGCACATCCATTTTTTTTATGTCCCACCTCTGTTCCTGACTGAATATGTCCAAGTGCTTCTCATTTCAGCTCTGACCTGATCCAGACCACGGCAGCATGTCTGATCTTCCATCATGCTGCCACTAGATCTGCACCCTATCTCAACACACTCATAAGCATACATTATCTCCCTCTCCCACTATCTGTCAAAGAGGGAGCAGCACCTGGTGTTTCTTTTGCAACCAGGTACAAAGGCACTTTCCAAGACTAGCTGCTCGACGGTTCAATGTACAGCAAAATAATAACTCAAAACAGTTTAGACAGTATCAGAACCGCCTTAGAAGAGAAGGTTTCCAGACTTGCACCTGGGCTGATTTGGGATGAACTGGACAGTATATTTCTGGGAACTTCTACAATATAGGTCTAGATGCAGCTGTGTGTCTGTGGCTGTGTGTAAGCAGATAAAAACCTCTTGAATCTTATTCAAAACGCTTGTCTTGGGCTTGGAAAGATGTAAATGCAACCAAAATCAGTTCTAAGTATCTTAAAGGAGTAGTTCACTTTAAAAAAAAAACTTGCTGATAATTTACTCACCCCCATGTCATCCAAGATGTCCACGTCATTCTTTCTTCAGTCGAAAAAAAAAAAAAGGTTTTTGATGAAAACATTCCAGGATTTTTCTCCATATAATGGACTTCATTGGGTACCAAACGGTTCAATGTCCAAATGACAGTTTCATTGCAGCTTCAAAGGGCTTCCAGACGATGAATAAGGGTCTTATCTAGCGAAATGATCGGCCATTTCAAAAATGACTCGAAACAAAGATTCATTTTGATGAACGAGTTTGAACAGGAGATACACGAATGAGCATCAAAGAACAGAGCAAGGCAAGCAATACTGATTATAAAACTTAAACTTTCTTATTTATTTTTGAAATGACCGATCGTTTTGCTAGATGAGACCCTTATTCATCGTCTGGTGTCGTTTAAAGCCTTTTGAAGCTGCACTAAAACTGTCATTTGGACCTTGAACCGTTTGATTCCCATTGAAGTCCATTATATGGAGTCAAAAACCTTAATTTCTTTTCGACTGAAAAAAGAAAGATATGGACATCTTGGATGACATGGGGGTGAGTAAATTATCAGCAAAAGTTTGTTTTTTTTTAAAGTGAACTACTTCTTTAAGAGTCAGTAAACAATTAAGAGGTCACGGAAAGAAAATATTGACAAGGAAAGGAGAATTTCTCACTGCATCTCTGAATACTACTGATAGTGAAAGATGGCGGGCACGAGTTGCACGATTAATCATTAAAAGATTGCAATCTCGATTCAAACACCCACGCAATCTCATATAACAACGATTCGACAACGATTTGACTGTCAATTATTCAATTCTTTTGACAAGTGCAATCACAGCCAACATTGACCAAGAGAGCAGTTGTTTCAAATAGGTATTTAACAGCTTCCCAATCAGTCATACATAGCATCATTATTATTATTTTTTTTTTTTAGTTTCAGTTATTCAAATGAATTAATAAGTGCTGGGATAAAAGTTTATAGTTTGGATATAAACACTGATGACTACAGTACCAATCAAAATAGAATAAATCACCTTTTAAAAGTAAACCAATGCTTCAAAAGACTGTATCAATTACATCGTTACACCAGTAGGTGGCGACAGGTGACCGTTAACAAAATGTAGAGCCCGTTCTCATCCCAAAGCGCCATATAAGACGCTTTTGCAAAAGCGTAAATATCCAACGCACATGGCACCCTTTAACGTGAAATGAGACGCAGATATATTTGGGCAGAAGGCGCCCCCTAGTGGTCTAACCCTTACCCTACACCATACCTAAACTTAACCGTGTCATTGAATCATAAAGATAAGTTGAAAAACATTGATTCATCCAGTAATGAAACAAGTGTCTGTATGAGTGAGTAACTGAAACATTCATATCAAACCAAGTTATTAAAGTGAATTAAATATTTTAGAAACAAATTGTGATTCTCAATTTATCCAGAATCACGCTGCTCTAGCGGGCACTATCTGTTCCATTGCTTTTAATTGTTTTGTTTTTTTGTGCAATTACTGCCATCCATTTGTCTTTTTAATGCCATGAAGTTATGTATTCTTTACTAATATTGATTTATTTACATTAATATTTACCTTTAAAAGGTTCAAAGACAGTTGTTCAATAGCCCTTTTTGAGGTATATGACAACTAAAATTTCAGTATCTTCTAAGCCAAAAAGACAGGCGCATAATGCTGGATATGACATATTGCTGTATAAAATGTCTGTTAAATGTGTAAAGGCAAGATCATTTTAGATTTCTTTTCATGTAGAAGACCTAATACAAAACCTTACATTGACAAATTCTTTAACACAAACACTGATTAATCGACGTTACTCATGGTGCTGCTGTTATAATATCTAGAGAGTTTACTGACTTAGGGTTCCCATTGTCATGGAAAACCTATTTCTAAAATTGCAGGTTCCAGGCCCCCCCAAAAAAGTGGAAATAAAATGGATCCTTCAAAAAAATCTTTGAATTTCCTGTGAATTGTGGTATTTGTTCTGGTTAAGCTGAGCTGAAAAAATGTGATTGGCACAGTGCAGATAGGCTTAGCCTATTCCAAGTATTCACATTTCCAGTAATTCGCCTTCCTTTTTTTCTTGCTTAAAACACATTACACAAAGTATTCAAAAATCATTTTTAATATATATTCTTGTGTAATTTTATTAAGAATCGAAGTTAATCGTTATGAATTTGCAATAACTGCTTTAGGATTTAATCGAAAACATATGAATATGAGTATGTATAACCAACCATTATAAGCCACTTTAATGCTTGGTTATGCCAAAAGCATGGTACCTTGATATATACCCCATGGTAATGAAGGTGACCATACATCCATGTAACGTTACGACATAACCATAGGCTACTTCAAGGAGCAAGAATGGTAGGCTACTTTGTTACAAAAAAAGAAAAGAAAAAAGAAAAAAAAACATGGCAAAACTATCGTACCATGTCAAAAATGTGGTGACACGAGTGTTAAAAAAGCATTATTCGAAATGTTCTATTTCCTGTTTACTAGCATAATGCTAACCTGTCTGAAAAGCAGAGTTCATTCCAACTTCACAGGCTACCTCATACGAACATAAAACCGATACAAGATTACTTGAACATATCATCGTATTGAATCAATCATTCAGTAATAAAGCCATTTAGCGTTAATTTTAATGCGTGTGTTAGTGTCAGTGGCCCGTGAACGCACCTGAACACACACCTGTCATTTGACCACCTTGTCATGTCACAACGCCTCTGTCTCACCTGTTGCTTCAGCTCAACACAATCGGTAAATTCATGTCCGTCTGATCACGTTTAAGTCCTTTTCGTCAGCTTTTGGGGTAATTAAAATAAAACATGACACTCCATAACAGCCGTTTCGCCCTTCGATCCGTTTAATCTACTCGCTGCATCCCGACAGTCGGCGCTACCCCACACACACACACACACAGTGGGAGTTAGCACAGAAAGGGAATGTGCTGCTGGCAAAAGGCTTTAAGATTTAAAGAAATTTACTGAATAATAATTATTCTATTATATCGCTCTGATGTTTATTTATAATAAAAATGTCTGTGCCTTTGTTCAGGTGCAACTTGTCCAGATCTTCGATGTTGCAATAGACGGCGTTATTCCCTGATACCTGTTACTTTTTTCAGCGCAGTTCAAGTTGAACCAATCACATGCGTTGTGATTATCAAATGGCGATTTTTGCTGAAATATTTTATAGAGATCGCTGGGCAGAATTGTATTTATGTCGGACAGAAATCCTTTGCATTCACAGTGTTTTAACAAGTGTATTTTATTTCTTTGTGTTGCCTACAAAAATTCCTAATTATTCAAAAGACGTCCTGAGATGAAGCTCTCATTGGGAACAATGCCTTCTGCGCAGTCAAGCGCCCCCTGCTTGTTTTTAAAGGGACATTTCTCCCAAAATGAAACTTTTGTCATCACTACTCACCCTGTTGTTCCAAACCTTTAGTTTCCTTTTCCCCATAATATTCTTTTTCTTAGGCAACTATGTAAGTCAATTAGGCTTATACCATCAATGTCTGGTTTCTTCTTCTGGTTTCTTCAACATTCTTTAAAATATGTTATTTTGTGTTCAACATAAGAAATAAAGTCATACAGGGTTGGAACAACTTGGGATGAGTTAAAATTACAGAATTTTGGAGATACTAATGGAATTTTCATTTTGGGTGAAATAGCCTTTGTTTACAACGTGTACTGGGGGCATTACTGTAACAAATTATAACAGAGAACAGGGAGAAATATCGTTTTCTGTTGTGTTGTTGCAAATAGCCTTTACAGTAACTTTGAGTTGCAAGCATTCTTTATTGTCAATGCAATATGCTCATATTCCTCCAATTTTGATATCTTTGAGGAAAAGAATAGGCCTAACCATTTCAAGAGAGAATATGAAGAGTTCAGATGCAAAAGCCTCTATAAGTGCCATTTGAAATTTTCTTCTAAAATGAACATTTTTATCAAGCCTGTATATTTAAGTTCAGTAATTTCACTTAAATTGCAATAAAGATTACCTATTAATTGTCATTTAAGTGAAATTACTGAACTTAAATATACAAGCTTGATAAAAATGATCATTCTAGGAGAAAAATTCAAATGGAGGCTTTTGCATCTGAACTCTTCATATAACTCAGTTGCAACAATTCAACAAAATGCTCAAATATATAATATCTAGTCAATTTAAAGACCAGTAGAAAGCTTACATAGAAAGTTGTTTGCCTCTGTAACTACCTAATATTAACTCTGGCAATATGGAATAGGACCCATGTTAATCCCATGCAAAAGGATTGTGTCATGCATGGTGATTTGTAATTGTAGAAATGGACTGTTTCTTATTCCTATACCTTAGTATGGCACATCTTATAGGAAGCCAATTTACTGGCACTTTGAGTCTTTCTTGTGAGGCAAAGAGTCGAGCTTCCACATGCTCAGTACGAGCTAAACCAGGGGTTCAAACTATTATGACTGAGTGTCTCGGGATAGCCACTGAATGAATGTAATAGAATTATATGCCTTTATAGTGCATGACTCATGGTGGCACCAGCAGGGAAGCAGAACGACTTGCCACTGCCTCTTGTGCACAAAATCCATCAAACTTGGGAACTTGCTAAATAACTTATAGGTCATCTGACTCTGGATAAAGTTTGTAGCTTTAATTGGATTTGCACATTTACTCTCTGAAATCAACACTCAATACACGAAAAATAAAGGTTCATTATTGGCATCAAGGGTTTCACCTTTGACATCCAACCTTTCCATTGCACAAAAAGTTTTTCATAGAATTTTTTTTGATTATTTAAATGTAATATGGTTATTTTATGAACTGTTCCTCGAATGGTATCAAATCTATATGGCATCACTGTGAAAACCTATTTTGATTTTTAAGAGTGTAGGACTTGGGCCTATTGTCAAAGTTTTCAGTAAAGTTTAAGTCTAATGATCTTTCAGAAATATACAAAACCGTATATTTGAGATTATTTGAGATTGAGGTCGTGTCCCAGTTTTCAAAGGGTAGAAGACTTTTTAATTTCACAACTTCATCAATTGCAACTTCTTTGCAATTTCCAACTAATTTACCTAAATAGCCATTACAAATAAGAAAATAGATTCTTGGTGAAAAAGTTAACAGATTAAAGATTAAAATGCTTCTCTGGAAGTACGCATCTGACACTTATAATTTTGATTTAGATTGATTTAGCACATGGACAGCCCTCACAGCAGGCAGGTTACAAACGGCTTATCTGTTTATTCACTCGCAGGGCTCGTAAAAGGGTCATCATGACCACTAGTCAGCAATAATAGCGGAACATTGTGCCGTATGAATCAGACAAAAGTGAAATGATGAAAAAAATGTGTTCTAAATATGTTGGACTGAAAGTGAAAAAAACTATTTAAGGAGAAAGATTCAAATGGAAATCTCTATCTGAGATCACTAACCTCATATCAAGTGTTTAATCTGGTGACCCCTGAAATGACCTCACAGCTTCTTCTGATCTTTTCCAGAGGGTCACAGGAAATAGAGTCCTCTGCTTGTCTTTACATGGCTGAAGTGAAGACAGTTCCGCTTTACTGATTACAAGAAGGTGTAGCCTATATTCCTCATCATGCGCATTTTATTATGTAGCTAAATCTTTGACAAATCAACACGCTGCCACTTCTGTTACTTAGGCCAATATTTTAAATTTACTTACTAACTCAAAAGTGGTTTGTGCCATTTTTTTTATTTGCTAGTGAATTAATGCAAGAAACAAAGTGTCTTAAAGTTGTGCAGTTATAAATGTGAAACCTTCCAGCTTCATTGTTTTTCATATCTTTCAAATCTAGACTACAAGAGAGATTAAAAATTTAAAATAGCTTTCCATCAGCATGATCTATATTATAATATCACTTTTTATACTGTTTTTACACCAGTGAAGAGCCAGCACTGATTTCATACAGAACTAAATCTAGGCTAGATAATGATTAAAATAAAATATCAAAATCTTATGTGCAAATTAGTTTCTATCATTTTGATTATTTGCGCCATAGCCTATTGTATTTGTTTTATTTTGCTCTTATTTATTAATTTTTAAATAAAAACCCTGGACTTACGAATATTTGTCCATTGTATTGTTTTAGATATTCAGAAGCACGTTAAGCAAGTAAGTAAATATTTTGCAACGAATGTTTGGTTCCGACCACAGACTTTGGTTTGGACCATAGACTGTTAGACAGGTTTGTAGTAGATGACAAGTTGTTCGTCCAATCAGCGTTGAGAATTCGTTTGATTAAAGCGTTACTTACGTCATCTTTACGCAAACGAGCTGCAGTCTTCTCAAACAGTCAGAAAGCGCGTGATAAGGTAAGACACGCGTTCATTCATTCACGTTTAACAGCAACATTAGCTCCTTTGACATTACTTAAAATGTTTATTTTTATAGTTCAATCAAATTTATACGGTAAAGTGGAAAATAAACCAGTCAAATCCTAATGTGAAATAAATGAATCACGTTAACACTGTTACCTTAACAAAAAGTCCAGTTGTGTCAGCTACTAATTTGGAACCAGTGATTCAATAGATGTGCATGTGAAAGACGAGTATCCCAATAAACGTGTTACTAAAGTAGGCTAGTCAGTATGTTGTCAATCAGTTTTCAAGGCGATTATCAGACTCTCTGTGTGATAAATTCAGTTCTCATCCCACTATTGTGTTTTGAACCCCCAGTGCGGAAGAGATTCTCTCTAATCCGTCTTGTTTTCTCTGGCTTGCTGAGATATGAGAGTCCTGCTTTAAACCCAACCCAATCCCCCCAAAAAGCCCTTTCTTTCAACCTGTGGAAATTCCACATTTTTTGATACCCAATTTTTACCCAATAAGCATCAGATGCGTGCGTATATGTATTGCTATAGTATGTGACAATGCTTCCTATAAGTAGGTCTATTATTTGCAGTTATTTCCTGATTGTGGATTGGGTGTTAATCTGTGTATTGCTGTTTGTTTCCATTCTTTAAATTATACACCGCTTATCTGACAGACAGCATGGGAATGTGTTTTCCTCAATAATATGTAGGCTAGTATAAAGTAATATGTATAAACTTTTATACATATACAATTTATATATATATAGCCTACACTTTTTGGCAGTTCATTCCATTAGCTTTTGTGATGTGCTGGAAATTGATTTTAAAAGCGTTATAATCATTCATTGAGAGTCATAATCGCACATTAATTGGATGTTTTAGATGGTCTATAAAATGTGCCTGTTACTGTCACTGTCATGGCATGTGTCAGCTATACCAAAAATCTGAAATCTTTATTTGGATCTCACTTAGTGGAGCTTTTTCTGCTGTGACACTGATTCGTTTCAACAGTAACACCAGTTAGCCTATTTAGGCCATCTTCCACCCAGCGCAATTAAGCGCCTGCTTCGAGATTTTGTTATTCTTATTCGCATGATTTGTGGAGAAAGGTCTACACATGTCGGACATATCATGGATAGGCCACTTAAGATGTCTTTCAGGTAATCTGAGCGCTGATTTTGATCGTGTCCTCCCCCTCCTCCCCCGCGGCGATCGCGCATCGCGCCTCATTCTCACTCCCATTACGCAGCGGGATTGTCATGAAACTGTGAATTGTTTGCTGCTCAAATATAGTTGACCTGGAGCCAGCAGTCTGAGGGGTTGAGGAGCGACCATCCCTGCCTCCCTCCTCCCCCTATACATCAGCATGACAAAGCACTGGGGGGGTCCGGGCTTGTTGGCACCACCCGTGATCATTGTAGGAACAGGAGCCCAACGCGACCATCACCTTGACTGCAAAACCAGCTTTTCCTCTTCCAACCCCAGCTGTCATTGCACCACAAACCCACTGCTGGAGTTCGGAGGCCGACTGGATAAGTCCACAAGGATGGCGCAGGACTCCAGAGGCAAACCGTCGGATCGGAGCGCATGGGTACTGGAGGATGGAAAGTCCAGTGGAGGAAAGAAGAAGAATTATCAGCGTTATCCCAAACCACCGTACTCTTACCTTGCTATGATTGCCATGGTCATCCAGAACTCTCCGGAGAAGAAGCTCACTCTATCAGAGGTTGGTCACTCACTTTTTTTTTTTGTCTTGGTCAAAATCCAACAGGGAATGCAAATTAAGTTCCATAATCACAGTTAATTTCAAAATAAATAAATAAAACAAAATAAAAAAGATGCAGAAGCAATTCTCGATCAGGAACACAATTGATTAGCCTACAAACAAAACGGCACACTGATTTAGACATTTTTTTAAGCAGAAATAGTTTCTTGTAAAGTAGCGAAAGTAGTAAAGAATTTACTTTCATTGCAACTTTAAAACACATTTTTACAATGTAGCCAAATATTTTATAATGATTCGTCAACATTTTTTTTTATTAATTTAAGAGTTTTCAGCTTCTCAGCTGAAATATTATCCTTATCAGTAGATTTAAGCCGTGCCGCAACGTGTACACTTTCAATTTAAGTTGTGAGGCAGCTGAATAACTTTTCATTTTTCATTTAGAAAATCTTATTTTTCATTCTAAAATCTTCTTAGAGCCTTTCGGATTTAAGGTTCCAAATGAATAGAAGTTATTTTAGTGTTATAGGCTGCATTCACAGGAATTACCTGAAAATGAATATAAAACTTAGCCTAATTGTACCATCACAACAACACATGGCGTTTATTTCCACAAATTAAGTTTACGTGACGTGAGTTTTTATTGCTGGTTGCCTGGGGCGCGTAGGCCTAATCTGTCTCGTGTCTGGATCTCGGTGGGGTTTGTGTTGTGAATAGTGAAAGCAGAGGGCGATACTCTATCATGCTGATATCGGTGTCTGGAATCACACTGTGCCACAATTACTTCGCGATTGTTTCGAAATGTCGCAATGTGTAAGAATCCACGATCCGGATTAATAGTGTGCTGACTATTCAAGAGTGACTCATGTGAATTTTTGTTGATGAATTGAGGTAGAACCTGTTGCAGGTGATTGGACTCGACATTTTCTTTAATTAAAATAGCACTTAGATCCTGTATTTGGTAATTTAGGCCCATTTTAAATGGCAAACACAGATTGTTCCCCTATATAACGTTCCCGTAGGCTATATGGTTCCTGTTTGGTTATTTTTTTGGGAAACCAAATAAGGGAACTTAATTCTGGGAACGTTCCCTGTTGGTTATTTTTAGGTTTAATTTAATAACCTAAGGAGAACGTTCTGGGAACTTTCACTAGGTTATTTTTAGGTGTAATTTTATAACCTAAGGAGAATGTTCTGGGAACGTTCCCTGTAGGTTATTTTTAGGTTATTTTGTAGGTTAATTTTAGGTTCTCCTAAAAGGAACGTTCCCCTAACCTTAAGGGAACGTTCTATTTACGTTAAGAAAACTTTCTTGGGGAACCAATATGGAACGTTCTGGGAACGTTTCCAGAGCCTAAAATTGTTAGCTGGGAAATTCAGGATAATATTAAGTGTCCGTTGTTACATTTATAAAATGTCACCCCACAGAAAATAACGCTTTAAAATGTGATTTAATTGAGACACACATATATGATATATTGACCTATATACACGCATGTACACATATATTATATATATATATGATATATGCGTGTGTGTGTGTAGGCCTATATCATATGTGTGTATGTGTATACATACAGTTGTTTTCAGGAAGTTAACATTTATGTATTTTTAGTAAGATAGTAATCAGCTGTCTGTTTTGAATCGGTGCAGTTTAGAAGCTGTAGCCAATAATAATGATATGTTTGAAATAACTATCTAAATTGTCTTCATGGAACAGATTCTGAAGGAGATCAGCACTCTCTTTCCATTCTTCAAGGGGAATTACAAAGGCTGGAGGGACTCGGTCCGACACAACCTGTCCTCCTATGACTGCTTTGTGAAGGTATGTTTGACTTCAAGTTATGAAAAATTACGTCATATCTTAGTTTGACTTTATCCTGTTGCCCTCTCCTCCTCTCTCTAGGTTCTGAAGGATCCTGGTAAACCCCAAGGTAAAGGTAACTTTTGGACAGTAGAAGTGAACAGAATTCCACTGGAGCTGCTGAAGAGACAAAACACGGCAGTGTCCCGTCAGGATGAAACCATCTTCGCTCAGGACCTGGCCCCGTACATCTTTCAAGGTTACGCCCCGTCGAACAAGTCCAAACCTCTGCCCGCTGACCTCTCATTACCCCCTGTTCCCACCCGTCACAGCCCGCCCCAGTCAGAGGACCCCTATCGTCCCAAACTGGACTCTACATTTGCCATAGATTCTCTCCTGCATAGCCTCAGGCCTGCCAGTTCGGCTGGGGAGGGGGTTCGAGAGAGGGAATGTTGGGGCCCCCCTCCACACACTCGCTCTGCCACTCCACCTCGCCCTTGTAACGCCTCGTACAACTGCAGTTCGTCGGCCAGCTCCGTCAGTCCCGCGTCAGATTTGTCCGACGAGGACTGGAGAGGGGTGACGCTTGTCGGGAAACGGTCAAGTGACCGAGAATCCACTTCTGATGGATACAGTGACTCCTGCCCCCCGCCAAACAAAAGCTCCAAGCGTGGCATCACTCCTCCGTGGGAGCTGCCGACCTCCTACGCCAAATACACCCCCCCAAATGCAGTAGCCCCTCCTAGCATGCGCTTTAACGGGAACCCGTTTATGCCGCTGGGCGGGATTCCGTTCTACAGTTACAGCGGTGCGCATGTCACATCACACTTGATCGGTCACCCTTATTGGCCCATTCTACCAAGTGGGCCGGTTTCCATTCAAGCGCCTCCGCTCCTTATGGACTTGGACAGCATGCTGCAATCTGTTCCTCCCAATAAGAGTGTGTTCGATGCGCTTGGCTCCAATAATCAGACTTCTCATCCCACTCCAAACCAGTATGCCCTTCAGAACGGACCTTCCCTTTGCAGATATTCTCTTTAAACTGTCTATCTCATTATAGTCCTGGAAAAACTTCCCATCTTTGGCACTGGCCAGGTTTACACAGATTTGCAAGCAAAAAATACTCAATATCTGTGAATTGTCTCAGGGAATTCTTTGAGAAACCCCAATATTGACCAAAGATTCTACCCGACCAATGTTGACACTGTTCGTCCACTCATGTGACTTTCTTTGACACAATTACTACCTCAGACTTTTACTACCTCAGACTTTTAATGTCAGTGGAGAGATGCATTTAGCTGCTCTTGTTTCCTGAATGGACCGTTAATTGGCGATAATGGAATACTTCACAAGATCAATTGAATGTTTGCTGCTTGACCTTCCTACGAATCGACCAGAAATATTGTGCTGGATATTTGTAGGGATTAGGGATGTGTTTGTGTGTGAATGTGTGCTTTTGAATCTGTAAGGAACCTGCGATGTTTACATAAAGATTGGCTTTTCTGCCATGAATGTGTCACTTTTTATATGTTGCTGAGTAAACATGCATTTTTTTTGTTGGAAATCTTGACTTTTGTATGGCTTTTCTGACCTGATTCTCTTCCCCCGATGTGTGTTTAAAACTTTCATTCCCCCCCACTTCACTTGGTAAAAGTCCAATCACAGGCTCTGATAACAACTGTGGAGGCTTGACAGATCTGATAAGATCCAGTCTTGCGCGCTTTTTTTTCTGGCATGCATTCACTTTGAAGAACTGTAATTAGAGCCATTTTTTATCAGTCCACTGTGTCTCTAAGCCTTATCACAACCCTGTGTCCCTGTGGAGTATAGATGCTGTAACTATGATTTTTATTTTTATAATCTGGTCTTCAAATGAATGTTTGTCACCTTTTGATCAGGCATGCCTGCCTAAAACTGTCCAGAAGCTCATATTGAGCAATTTGGTCAGTAATTGAATGTAAGGGTCATTTATCTGGTGGTCTGTGGTTGTCTCTCTGTCTGGTGCACGTCACCTCACCACCTCCTGCTGTTTTTTTCTGTCCTGTCCTCCCTCAAATCACTCATTCACACCCCCAACACCTCCACTCTCTTACAGGTCCATTTCTTTATAATGGACCTTACGAGCATTTGTGCCTGATTAATAGGCTCCACTGAAGAGTTTGTAGAGTCTTTATTGTATTATTGTCGTGGCATCAATCAGACTGTATAGGCCTATTGTATTTAAAGTGTGTCCATTTTATAGGTGGAATCCCATTGAAACATGTCCAGAAGTCTACAGAAGAGGTATAGATTTCATCTTCAAAGTGTGTACACAAATAGTTTCAGTTTGCAAGGGAAAGTGCCCCAAAGGTTTTTTTTTTATTTCTTATTTTGAAATGTCAGTTCCAAAGCATGAGAGATATTCTCACAGAAAATAAATGTGTGTTACTGTTGTATTTAGTCAGTCAAATGTTCGGTTTTTGAGTTGTTACTGTCTGACAGTCACATCATAACTTTGTGGTTTGAGAAGCCCTGCACATCGCTATTTTACTGTCTTGAACCCATGATGAAATTGACAGGAATTGTAAAAATTAAGAGAATAATAATCAAATGCAACCTGATTTTACTTATTTTCTTGGTATTTTTAAAACAATATTCTGTATTTCAAAAGATTTGTGTTGTTCACAAAGAAAATGCAGTGGAACTAACTATTGAAACTATATTGAAAACCACAGTAAATAAAAAAAGGTCAATCAACACTGAACCTCATTTAAAACTAAGTTTGTTTTCCTCAGCACACATCCTTTAATTCAGAAACTTCAACCACCATCCACATTGTTTTCATTGTGAAGACAAAATGGACACTCGAGACCAAAATAAGAATGAACAAATCAAATGTAAATAAAATCACAACCAATTGACCAAAAAATTTTGATGGGAAAATTAGGCTACTAATTACAGAACGTATAGGCTAGTAAATATAATTGGTAGCTTATGCTTGAAAGCAATACAATTATAAAAATAGAACTTTAGGATTTTTTGTTGTTGTTGAGAACTAGTCTATAATCCTTTAAAATGTCTTTTTAAAAATCCTTCATGATGTTATCCATAAACATACCCATAAACGGATAAATACAAAATTACAGAAGAAATGTGTGGCAGAAACGATTTTCTTGAAAAATAACGAAATTTTTTTACACATTTTTTGTTTTTCTCAAATAGCCCATCATACATCTTCTCGTGTTGGGCAAGGAGCTTAGGCAAATGTGAAATAGGCTACTGATGCTATTACATAAAGAAAGTTTGAATGAATAAGTCGGCTAGGCCCTAGATAAAATGCACCAAACTTCTGCCCCCCAAAAAAACAGGCTATTCAACCCTATGGCTATAGCAGTCTAGCGTAGTCTATGCTATCACAGTCTGCATATTATTTTCTAATATAGGCTATTGAATATCCAGACAAGTGAAATTACATGTAGGCAGAATAAGAACTGTAAATGTCGATTAAACTGAAAAGATCCGTCATCCATTTTCCAAACCGCTTGTCAGGCTAGGCGGCTATTGCGTTCTCAAAGAGTAGCCTATTGCAAAATTTGGTTTGCACTAAAACACACATTATAAAAAGCAATCAAGTTGGCTAGGCTAGCCAAAATAATAATAAATACATAATAATAATAATTTAGCCTACTTTTTAACAAACACGCAACCAATAGCCTATAATTAGCCTATAAAAATGGCCAAATGGCCACATAAGCAACAAAAAAGATTGCCAAGGCTTAGCATTGAAGCATGAGCACCTTCAAAATAAGAAAATAAATCCTATTGAAATAAAACCAATAACAGCTAATAAAAAACATTACGTAACCAATACTATAATTCGAAACGGTACGCTTATGAAAAACCAATAGGGTACATTTTTAGTAACGTGCTCAATTTTACAGATTTTATAGTGTAAAGAGGTAAAATAAATAAATAAATTAATTAATTAAATTGAACATAAGGCTTTCAGGCCATACCAAGCCGCATCTGTTGGCAAAAGGCACAATAATGATGATAAACAGCTGTCAGACTTTCCCATTTGTTGACATGACATGGTTAGATTCAGATGGTAAATAAATATAATATATTAAGTTGGGTGTCCACCTTAGAGATAATCACCATTTATAATGAAACCATCATATTCACAAATATGATATCGATCATAATCATATGGCCTATATAAAACACAATTTATTACTGTAAATAGGCCTATTACATTATTATGGGATCTACTTCAATGCTTTCATAATCTTTACTTTTTTAAATGGTTCTGTTTCTGTATTTTTAAAATAATTTTTTATGTTAACATACAGTAGCCAATATTTATTGAACAAAAAGGAATTATTTTACTTACCAAAATAAACAGAAAATAGGACAAACTTTGCTAAAGCGATTGTTTTGAACCAGTATTAACCTGAACTAAAATAATATGGTTTTGATAATGTCTAATTACTGTATCAATTTCCGGGTTTTGCCCATGCTAGAGAGCCTTTTACCCCGTGAATCCACACCCCGACGTTAATATGATTTTTAAACAAAACTAAAACCTGTCATGATTTATTTTTACACAAAACGTGTTGTTCCATGTTTAATACAAACATATATTTTTAAACGAAACCTTTCGGTCGAATGACTTCAAACAGACAATTAGCCTACAAGATGAATAACTTACAGCCTAACATGACCAATCACTGTGTTTCTTGACCAATCAATGCATTTCTTGACAACATCGTGTCATTAAATTATTAGAACGAAGGCTATAATAGAAGGCATTGAGCAAAGCTTATTTCACGAATAAGCTTGGAAATGTAACGTGCCTAATTGCGTTTTAAAAGCCGTTTTACAGAACTAAATAAGCGTATTGAGTTGATTTTTGTTACTCCCTCCTTTTGTAAATATTTCAGCAAAGTGCAAATTGTCCTCCCATTATATTGAAAAATAATAATGCCACAAACAAGACAAATTAACAATTTGTAAATAAATTATAGATATAAGAATAAATATATAGCCTATAGAATAAATAAAAAAATAGATTTAAGATTTAAAGATTTGTATTTTTTCAACTTTTATATTTTAACCTTATGCATTTATTTGTAAGGGTAACCTTATAAAGCTTGTTATATGCCTAGCCAACCCATCGATTTATTTATGCAGGAAAGGCCTGTATTTGGCTATTTGCTTAAACTCAGGTGTTTATGTTGGAGGCGGAATATGCACATTTATAAGCCATTTAATCAAGAAATCAAATAAGAAAATGCTTAAAAAAAGAAAAGAAGAAACCTAAAAACCTTTCAAATTGCACCTTGCAAATCTACTCACCACTTTATATAGTCTATACTAACCAATCTTTGTAAAACACTGTAGAAGAACAGAAAAAAATACACTTTATAAGAGGTTGCATTAGACTTTATTTTAGCTTTCTTAAAAAATAGTTTTCTATGTTCCAATGCTTTGTTCACTAAAATGCATGACTCGATGAGGTCTTCTTAAACTGTGTCCTGTGGCTTATGCAAGCAAAGACGTTTAGAGGGAATGGTTTGGTCTCCATCCGGTTCATCCACACTTCCATATCCTCCTCCTCCAGGGGTGAACAGACTGAACATGTCCTGTCAGCAACAACACAGGTTACACAAGGACATTTTATTTCCTTCCATCCATCCATACATTCAAAGACTGTAGAGTTACAAAGTTACAAATGACAGAATTTTAATTTATTTTAATTGAACTTCCTTGCATCCAAAATTGAGGTAACAAACAGGATGCATTTCAATTTTTAAAATGGCAATTCTGCATCCTGTTTGCTGTACCCCGATTTAAATTCAGGAACTGAATTGGAATTCAAATTGCTTTCTCACTTGAGTTCTGAATGGCGAAGATGCCTGGGAAATTCTTTAGAAGTCAGCCATCAAATGGCATGTAGTGACCACTGTTTGTGCCCTTCTCTACTCTTTGTTTCTCACTTTTGTTTTAAGCACCCCCCCCCATCTCCACTTATTGCTTGTTTTCCATACTATATCTATGCTTCCTTTCCCTTTGTTCTCTGCCAGTGTGTTCTGTGCTTCTTGCTGTTCACCTGCCGTTTTTTTCTTGTCTAGTTATGTTACATTCAGTTTATTTGCCAGACTTAGTATGTCCAAAAACACCACGCAAGACAGAAAAAATACAAAAAACAAGGCAAAATACAAGTACAAGAATTAAAATACATACAAACATTTCAGCCAATGCACTCTCAGGCCACGTTTACACAAAGCCGGGTATACAGCAAAACGAATATTTTCCCCCACTCCGTTTTCAAAAATAACATCGTTCACACACCCGCATAAATACGCCGTCGAGCGCCATCATAACTATGCCAAACCTATTGGCGGCAGTGTAGGGAGAAGGATAAAGCCATGCAAGCCAATCAGAATCCTCAGAAACCTAAAGCGCCGTTTTTCCCAGTTCACACGACAACACACAACCGGCGTTTTCAGAAATCTCCACTTTGGCCGGAGTTTTTAGAAATAATCGTTTTCTGTGAGAAAAATGGGGTTTTCGTGTAAACGAGAGGCCAATCCGCAGGGAAATATCTGCGTTTTCCCTTCGTGTAAACGGGGCCTCAGTCTGGATGTGTACCTGGATCACTAAGGCTCTGTTTACGCGAGAACGCTTGCGAGTGAAAACATAAAAAATACATTATCGGATCTGCCTTTCGTTTACACGGCGACTGCGTTTTTGGGGCTTAAAAACGCAAAAAAGTGAAACCACCCTCCAGAGTGGAAATCTTAAAAACGCTGCACTGCCACGTTCCCGTGTAAAAGGTAAAAACGCAAAAGTCTGCTTGACAGTGAAGGTTGTACGCAGGCGCGCGGACTTGGTGTTGTTGTGTGGCAGTGCTCCACATTGCCACCTAGCTGCCTGGAGTGCATACTACATTGAATTTCACACTCTTTTGCATCACCATATGCACACGGATTTCCCACCCAAAACGCTCGTCTAAACGCAGAATAAAAAAAGTGATAACACAACGCCACTTTTGCGTTTTCTCTTCAGAATCGTTTCCGTGTAAACATAGCTTAAGGCATTTGAAAGTGCCACCATGATACTGTTGGTAGACTCATCCAGCCGTTGCAGATTTTAATAGTTAATTTATTTGGTTTTGTTTTCTTTTTATCGCACATATTTTTTCTCTGCCCGGTTGTGGTTCCTTGTTCCCCTCTAGAATTCACTGGTCTCAGACTGCTCTCTTGCTGCTGACCAATTTGGGCTGGTGCTGGAGTTTGGATTTTCCTGGGTTATCGTTCGCCTCTCTGGACTGCTTTCTGCCATGAACACCTGCCTGTTTCCGATCGTGAGTTGGGATGTCCCAGTTGGTTCTTTTTACTCCTCGCCTGACTGTCCTGCTTGTCTGATATGGATTCTTGGATTTGATGGCCCTGAACCCTAACCCCTGCCCGTCTGACCAATCTCTTCCTCACTGTTCTAATCTGGTCTGGAGCCGTGCGGCTTAAACTATCTTATTGTGTTTCAATAAACTGAAGTTAAGCATTCTTCTGCTTTTGGGTCCTCCCTTAGATCATCACATTATTGATTTGGAGGTATTTAGAAGTATACAAACACACACACACACACACACACACACACAATTTGTCTTACCCCAGGATCCAGGCTGATGGTATTCTTGGCCCCTAAATTTAAGACTCTGCCGTCCGTTCTATGTAACAAATTCAGCCCTGGTGCTCCATTTTTACCTCCTAGACAAGCCAAAATTATGTAGCAGTAAGCACAGATGAAAGCATATTAGTGCTGTCAAAATTAAAGCGTTAACACGCGTGAATCATTTTTTCAGTTTACTTTAACGCATTCAAATTTTTTAACGCAATTAAACCTGCCGTCGGCAACATTTTTTTGATCATATTCAGTGAAATCGACACTATAATCCGACAGAACAACATAAATAAAGTGGTTTTAGAAAAAAAAAATCTGACTGTCAATCACAGATCGGGCATATGCCACCCCTCGCACATGTTACAATCACATGCACACGTTCGCGCAGTAAGGAAGAGTTCACATAAGACACAAAAGAGAACTGTGACATACACACTCGTGCGCACGAAATTATGCCAAAATGCCCATTTTGTCGGGTCTTAAATGAGTTAGCGTAAAGATTTGCGAGAAAATGGGATGCGTGTCAGATCCATGTCATATGTGGCAGCTCTTAAAGTGACAGCAGCCTAATAGACCTGCTGCCGTCTGTCTGTCATTAAAGGAGTAGTTCACTTTAAAATGAAAATTACCCCATGATTTACTCATCATGACTTTATTCTTTCAGACGAATACAATCAGAGTTATATAAATAAATGTCCTGGCTCTTTAGCTGGTTATTTTACTTTATAAAGTTTTAAAAATTAACATTTTTCTTACACAAATTCGGTGATTTGCTTCAGAAGGCCTTTATTGACCCCCCCGGAGCCGATTGGACTTCGTTTATGATGGATGGATGCACTTTTTTGAGCTTCTATCTGTTGGTTGCAATCCACTGCCATTATGAAGCTCGGAAGAGCCAGGACATTTATTAATATAACTCCAATTGTATTCATCTGAAAGAAGAAAGTCATTTACACCTATGATGGCTTGAGGGTGAGTAAATCATAGGGTAATTTTAAAGTTAAGTTTTAATTTTAACTACTCCCTTGAGGATAATCAAAGAACAAAAGAAAAGAAAATCACTCACTGCTCTTGACTGATTAACTTGTAGCTTTAATAAGGATTAATCTGTATTTAATTTATAATTTATGCAGTGAAGACTGAGATAGTTTTAATAGTTTAATAACCATTTAATTTCTATATACAGTATATCCTACCTGTTAGATCTACCTGAAAATCTTAAAGCACTGTTTACAAGGTTACATGGATCAAAAATGACAAACACAATAACTTTTTGTGCATTTTGACAGGGCAAATCAAAATCTGAACTGGCCAAAAAATTGAGCCCTGACATATTGAAAGGCATTTATTATAATGTGAAGATTGTTTTAATCTCACTTAAGTTAAAAGTTGTTGTATATTTTAAAGCTTAATATATGTTAAAATTTATAGCTCTCAATTATACTGTAATGCCAAATGGCTATAATAATGGCTATTAAAAAAAATCTCTATTACAAAGAGAAATCAATATTGGTATCGGTGATGCATTCCTTCATAAAAAAAAAATAAAAAAAAATATATATATATCTATATATCTATATATATATAATTAAACAAATATAATAAAGGCTACTGTCTTTATATTGTTTCCACATTACATTAATTTGAATTTTAAATTTTAAATGATTAAAATACAAAAATATACTAAAAACTTTAATGTTGGGTGTGATTAATTGCGAACAGAAAAATGTGCCGTTTAATCGATTGACAGCACTAATATATACGGTATATATTAATATATATAAATAAATAAATGCAGATGAAGCTACCATGTAGGCCGTAGGGTCGTGTAGAGCGCCTCTCCGTCAATACTGACAGAACCACTGGACTACGAAATCGAAGTTTCCGGATCACACCGTCACCGCCATGGTTCAGACCTTTCCCTCCAGAACCGGTCCGGAGAGAAAACTGCTCAAGAATCACTGGATACCTGAGACGGCGACATCAACTCGACTTCAAATATCTCTTTCACGTCATGTATGAATGTAATGTTTCTATAATGCTGTTAAACACTCAAGACCTGCTCTCCAGGATCTCCGGGTCAGTGATGCGAGTGTTGGTCATGTGAGTGTGAACGCCCCCACGCCCATTCCAGCTTGGCCCCGCCCCCGCACCACCGGCAACCGTCTCATAGTAACCGCTTTTCTCACAGCCGAACGACACGTTGTTCATGCAACCCTTAAAAGAGAATCGAAAAAAGCACAAAGTGGGATCATAAATGGCATCTAACTGGACTCAAATTGAGTTTTTCATTCCTTACCGCAGTTGCCTTTAGCTTACATTAAAGGGTTAGTTCACCCAAAAATGAAAATTAAGTAATTAATTACTCACCCCCATGCTGTTCCAACCCCGTAAGACCTTCGTTCATCTTCGGAACACAAATGAAGATATTTTTGATTGAATCTGAGAGCTAGATCAGTCCTAGATAGACTGCCTAAGGGACTGGCTCTTGACGGCCCAGAAAGTCATTAAAGGAAAGGTTTAAATATTCCATGTGCCTACAGCGGCTCAATTATACGTTTATCAAGCGACGAGACCAGTGGCGGCTGGTGAAAAATATTGGAGGGGGGGGCTGAATAAGAGGGGGGCCTGGGGTTCCCCCCCCCCCAGAAAATTTAGAATTTAGTAGATGTGATTTCCTGCATTCTGGTGCATTTTAGGCCTTAGGCCATGCCCTTACCTATACCAATAAAATAACTTAAACCAGTCAATACCAATGGTAAAATAATACAATAATAATAATAATAACAGTTTGACAGTTAATGATAATGAACAAGTTCCATGTTTATTATGCTCTGTGTGCTGACAGAAAAAGTGCAAACGCATAATATTGATAAATTATAATATAGGTAATACAAAAATAATAGGTATCTAGTTTAATCAGTCCCCAGCTGTAGACTACATATTTTTGACAAATTGACAATTGGATAATGGATAACAATTTGTTGATACTAGAGAAAGAGAGAGAGAAAAGGCTTTGAAAGAGAGGGTGGGACAACTTTCTTGAGGGTAACACCCAAGTATGAGAAGAAAGTTGATTTTAACTAGTATGAAACACAGTAATCTAGCTCAGAACTTAAAAACATCAAAAAACAAAGCAAACACACAGGTATTAATATTCCTATAACTACTTTAATATCAAATGTGTGTGAAACAGTGTTTATGTGTGTGTGAGTGAGTGAGTGACAGAGACAGACAGGTCAATTCCCACGACTAACTTTACATTATTTCCACTCGACGTCACTGGCGCTGCCATTCTGCTCTCATCTGAGGTAAAAAAAAATGTCCCGTGGTGCGCGTGCACGGTGCACTCCCCCTCATCTGATACTGTGGGCGATATTTTCAGCGCCCCCAAACCATAAAATTTGACGACGCTGATTGGCGAAATAGAAACTTTTTTGCATAGCAACCGGGGAACCATTGGCTTAAATTCCAGCACTGTGGGGCTGAGCGAACTGGCGCCCTGAGAAGACCCCTATTGTAGTAGTTGTAGACCCCTATTGGCTATACTACTACACCAACATGATAAAAGTAACGAAAGTGAATGCAAATATCATTCTGGTGAGTTCAAAACACTTTTCAAAGTAAAACCATTAATAGCATATAATTAACACAGATTATTTTTCAAAATGATAAATTATAATATTAAAAAAACAGACAGACAGGTCGGAGGGAGGGCGGCGCCCCAGCGCCCTCTATGGGCGAGCCGCCCCTGGACGAGAATACTTTTTGTGCGAAAAAAACATAAATAACGACTTTATTCCACTATTCCATTACTTCCTTATGGGCGCATGCGTGAGAACTGAGACGAGGACGTTCTCATTCGTCTACTTTTTGTTACCGGCTGCTCACCGCTGAGGAGTTTTACCGCCCCCTACCGTATAAAATGATGATCCATATATAAGGCGCTCCGGATTATAAGGAACACTGTCGTTTTTTGAGAAGATTAAAGGCTTTTAAGTGCACCTTATAGTGCGGAAAATACGCTAATTGAAAAGCGTATGTACAGCGCGCATCTTCCTCTGCTTGTAAACAGAAAGTTTTGCGCTTCCAGCTATATCAGCACATCATCTTATACGGTAGGGGGCGGTAAAACTCCTAAGCGGTGAGCAGCCGGTAAACAAGAAGTAGACGAATGAGAACGTCCTCGTCTCAGTTCT